CAATTGTATTTGTTAACATGGTTATTTTTTTTATTTATTTTAGAAATGACTCCTCTTAGTAAAAAAATTAAACTAATGGCAGGTATACTGTATATAAGACAGAGAGTAAATAATGAAAAACCAATTTTGGAACCTGAAGCATTTAATAGGATGTTAGAAGAAACTGAACCAGAATTAAAAGGGTTTTTTGATCAACTATATAAAGGAACTAATCCAGGTTCTAAAAGCAATATGATTAATGAAAAAAATAAAAAAAGATTAGTTTTATTTTGTTATTTTTTGGCAGGTCTGAATAATAAATTTATTAGTGGAATTAAAGCAGAAATTGGCTATCTATTGGATGGTGCAGGTGCATCTATCTCAGCAATTGAGACATTTGCAGGAGCAGGCATGAGTATTAGACGTGAGACTGTAGCAAAAAATAAAAAAAAGGATGCATCAACTCACATTGAGACAGTTGGAATTTTTGTTGCAGAATTTGTAAGTACAGTATGTTTTAATATGCAAATTTTCATTTCTCTAACGTTTCTAAAAAAAATAATAAATAAAAAAATAAAACTTGGCCCGAATTTTTTTTCCCCAAATATTCCCACTTCAAAAAAAAAATGAATTGAATAAAAACGTGCATTATAACCTCATCTGAAATTTTAACATATGATAATACGCATCTTAAATAACCATCTGTGATGTTATGAATTTTTTTGTAAACAAGCTTGATTTTTAATAAATATTTTTGAAAATTTAAAAAAATTAATATTAAAAATGTTGGCTTTGACTGAAATTCAATGTAGCAAAACTATTTGTCTTTACAAAAATAATGAACCCATTTCCAAAATAGCCAAAATTCTTGATATTCATAGAACAACAATATCTCGTACTATTAAAAAACATATTGATGGTGAAGGTCTTGCTACAAAGCAGCGAAATGGTTGTCCAAAATTAATTAATCAACAATGAAAATCAAAAAACATTAAAAAAAATTTTAAAGCGAAATAATCGAAAGTCTGCTGAGCAAATAAAAAACAAATTTAATGAAAAAACAAATAGTGATGTTTCAACTAAGACTATTAAAAGAACATTACATGAATTAAATATTTTTCTCAGGCTTTATTTTTTCTTCTGTATATTGTCATTCTTGAATTCCCTGTATACTTTGAAGGTCTATTAGATGAAATTAAATTTTCAATGTTTTTTGATAAAATGTCATAGATTGTGTCAGCATTTTTATTTATTTCACTGTCAAACCACAAAAAACCTTCATCTTCAAAATTTGCAAATTCCTCTCCATATTCATTTCCTACATCCTCAGTATCTTCAAAGAAAATATGACTTTCTTCAATTTCATCATCTGCAGATTCTTCTTCAACATTTGTATTTTCCTCTGCATTTTCAAAGGTTTCAAGCTTTCTTCATTTTCCTCTGCACTTTCAAAAATTTCAAGGACTGTAGAATCTTCTTCATTTTCTTTTTTTTTCTTTTTTGCTGCTGCTAATTCTTTGCACATCCTAATTTTTCTTTTAGGTTTTGGCATTTTATTTCACAAAATAATTAAAAAGAATTGCACTGAATTAGAACGCGTTTCTCATTAATTTTGTGTAACACGTGATTTTACCAAAATTAGAAATTTAGGAATGCGCAGAATAATTCGGGTCAAAACTATATGTAACATATAAAAATCACATGATTTTTAAAAGCTTAAGGCTCCTGAACCAAGCAATTTTTTTTTATTATCTCGACGATAGATTGTAGAGCTGGTCAAAAGCTATAAAATATCGTCTTTATTTTTTTGAGATAACCATTCAGTATTTCCTTTTTAGGTTTTAAAATTAGTCTGTTTTTATGTGATGGCTTATGATGTTACGCACTGTAATATTTTTTATTATGGATATATGGGACGTAAAGTTATGTGATGAAAAATTTTTATGTATAAATAAGGAAATTTTGCCCCGATCTGCAATATGTATTTTCTTTCCATTTCTGGCGATTTGTGAATTAATGTGTACGTGTTTGTCGATCAAACAACAAATTTAATTGACGATCCGTCTATAAATCAGAGAAATGTTGATAAAAATACGGAGGAAATTTATATAAAATTTTCAAAAAATAAAAATCTACAAATGTCCATTACACAATAAAAATAAAACTTTTATAATCATTATCAAACCCATTACTAATTTTGAACCAATAGATATCATTGTCAATAGATGATAATGACTTAAATTTATTGTATGAAAAATTCATACCACGATTTGCTTTAAAAAGTAAACAAATTTGGGAAAAAAGTGGTGGTAAAAAGGCTTGATTTAAACATAATTGAAAAATCCCTTCTCTCCAACAAATCAAATAATGGATATTTATTTAATCAAAATCATAAAAAACAAGCAGTTAAGAATACTAATATGGATAATTAATGTAAAAAAAAATAATATTAATATTAACTTCACATGTATAATGTTTTTAACAATAAATTAATTGATAATCCATGACTTTTGAATTCATTAAACCTTTACCTTTAAGAATATTTATTATAGAGTCCACTCACACTCTCTAATAATAATGGATCCTCTGTAACATACTGAGAATATTGATATTAATATTAAGCCTGATCTATATGTCCAAAATTAATATATTAATATATAAATTATTATTGCTGATAACGGATTATCTATAATAAACATTTTTTCCTAGTTATATTAATACTAATACTAATACTAAGTCAAATGGTCTATTATAGAGTGAACTGTATATAGAAAAAAAAGAATTTTTTATTATTGTAAATGCAATTAAGATTCAATAATAATAAAACTAAAAACGAACATTACACATAAAAAACAAAATTTTCTATATAAAAATTTCCAACAATCCACGAGTGCTAAAGAGTAAACTTTTTTCTTTGCTTAAGTAAAGGTAAAATAAAATATATTAATATGTTTTCTGAGTTATGTTTTATCTGCATGCTAAAAAAAAATTTATGTAGTGGAACAAAAGTATAGTACAATTTTTCATGCAAAAGTACTCAATTGGTCATTTTTGTGTCAATTTTCCTCCACTGATCATTATGTAAGACTCTCCGATTTATTCACAGATCGTCAATTAATTCTTTCTTGAAAACAAGAAAATGAACAGGTAGAAGTTTCTGGATAAGTGTTTATTGTAAGAATGGTGGTTGTTGCCACTTGTCATCACTTTAGTTTTATTTTAAATATAACTTACTTATATATAATCTTTTTAAATTGTACAGATCCAGAAAGAAAGATATCAAGAAGAATTATCTGTAGATGAAGTAATTGGTTCTGTAAGTAAATAAGTAAATCACTTTTTGAATATGTTGTCCTTTTCAATTATGATAATAGATGAACAATGCCCATATGATTGTTTTGAGATTGAAAAATGTACAAAAATTTATAACAGCAATCCCTATAAAGTCAATGGACCAATTCTAGAAAAAGATCTAATTACTTGTTTAAATGATGCATTGTACAATATTAGTATTGGTCTGGAATCAAATTTTAACCCGGTGAGTCAACCAAATGATGATAACAGGTCAAAAAAAATCAAAAAAGTTCTCAAAAAATATTTGATTACATGTAAGTTAACTTTTTCTTCAATATCTTTGTTATGATTACTAAAAATTAAATAGGTTAATGTTTGATTTTTTTTTTTTTTTTTAACATTTTAGATGCAATGATTTGCCTTTGATTGGCCCCTTCAAAAATTCTGAAGATGAGCATAGGTTCGAGTTTTTTAATCCTATTCTGAAACCTATTTTTGATACTATACATAAGCATCAAACTCAATAAAACACTTGGTAATTCAACAAAACGTCCAATTTTTCATGCCATATTGATGATTTTTCGATCTTAAACACAGAAGTAAAACCATTAAGATATACCCAATTTCAGAAAACAAAGGATTTCATAAAAGCTTGTTTATGTGCAAAAAAAACAATTGATGGGTTAATTGATCGAAGGGATGGGCCTTGCACATCATTGTTTTTATTAAATATGGGTAGGTGAATGTCCATATCATAAGATTATTTATAAAATTTTCACTGAATTGACAGTTATTTAATAATCTAGGTGTATACATTGAATCTTTCATAATGGATTTGGATGTGGATGGTGTATACAGAGTGTTCCCTTTTATGAAATCCATTTTACCAATTGATAAACCATCAGTTATGTCATTGTCTCCTACTTTAACACACCTAATAGCATTACAGGTATGGAGAATGTTTATAAGTTTTTTTGTTTTTAGATTTTATGATATATATTTTTTACTATCCTAAAGTATTGCTCAATGTATTTTCAGGAACATGTTACATCTATACATGAAGTCGAAATTAAAACCCCAAAGTCGAAATGTTTTGACTTGAGGCAACTACATAGTAAAAATCAGTTTCGACCTTATTTTGACCCTATTTCGACCAGATCTGCAAATGGTCAAAATAGTTTCAACTTCATGTATAGTTACATCACTAGCAGAAGATTATAGATCTAGACCTAAATATTTCACACCTCAAAAAGATCGAATTACAAGAGAAAATCGCCAGATTCACCCCAGATAAAAATTTTGATGCAGTGAGTCTCTCTGTTTTTTAACTTTTTTAATAGTTACTATTTTTCAATAAGATATTAATTATGCAATAAAATATAAAATGAGATCAATAAAAAGAATAAATTACATTGTTTGGAGGGGTTTAAAGAATATGGTTTTCCAATTTTTTTATTTTAAATAGTGAATTAGGAAAATCATTAATTGATTATCTGAGTTTTTTCTTCTTTTTTTTTACTCATATTAATAGTTAAAAAAGTTCATTTTAAAAGATTAACATTTTTTTTTTTTGCTTCACTGTAACTTACCAATGTTATGTGTGTGTCCGTTTAAATATTTATCTGAATTGCCCTTGGAATAAATTAAAGTTCCACGATTTTAACTTACTTAAATCCTTATCATAATTTGTGTCTGCGTGTGCAAACCCTGCTACCTAATTAGGAATTTCCTGCAGACTATATTACCGACACCAAATGGGGTATTCAATATAAGTTGATTAACAAATCTAATTAATGTCATAATGTAAATCCATATATGCAGATTTTTTTTTATGGTATGGTGCTTATCATCTAAAGACATCAAAAATTTTGGGTAAACTTTAAAATATATAAGCTCAATGACCATGCAAGATTAAAAAAAAAACTCTATAGTTTATTCTATATGACATAAGGAAAGATGCAATAGTTTTTTAAATTTTATCAAAATGAAAAGAGTTATAATGGTTTAAAGTTTGTCATTTTTACTATTAAAAAAAAATTTCACCACTGATCATTACTCTATTTAAAGAATATTTTCACGATATAAAGAAGTATCATTTGATACTTATGACTCATGAAATTCCACTAAAACAGATTCAGGAGCTCTTCTATGAGAGTGATACTTTTTAACTGCAAAAATAGCAGCTTTCCAGAAAGCCCCATCCTATAGGCACTCATAAACCTATAACATCTTCTTGCAATTTACGAATTTTACAGAGAGAAATAGAATTAAGAGCCAATGGCACAGTTTGTTGTAAACCAGTGTGTAAATTTCAGTGTGTAACTAATGCAAATTTCTACAAATTTAGAAACTATCTGCAGACAACTGCTAATGTACGATGTTACACCCGCACATTCCACACATTGAATTTTATACACTGTTGTAAACCTTCCCAAGATTCTAATTCTGTAGTTAAAGATAAATCTCTCCAGTCATCACCAGATTCAATGTATTCATAGATTGACTCTTCGATTCTAATCCAGGTTCATTACATATAATTCATTCAAAATGCTTGTGCCAATCTGAGATTCATTTTCAAACATCTCCTTATCAATATATTCATCTGTAATGGGTTTAATAGTTCTTTCATTTTTTTAGTTTCACAAGCTTTTTGTAAATGCTGATTTCTTTTATTCTGTTTAGGCATTTTAACAAAAAAAAAAAGAAATAGATTTGAACTAAAAAATTGTCAAAAATCACATTTCATAAAAGGAATGATTTTCATACTAATAAGGACACTTGCAGATCATCAGAAATAATTGGAATAAAGAAATATGAAAAAAATAAAAAAATTATTATCCTAACCACATTTGCTTATTAAGTAAAAATTCATCTCCATATCAAATAGTATGATATAATGAAGTTTCGCCACATATAAATAAATATTTGTTGTTTTACGAACCTTAAAAAATAAAAATGAATTTTTCGGAATATTTAAAAAAATCTTCGCCTTGAAAATCGACTGCATTGGCAAGTTCTAACGACCTTTGTGGTATAAGTAAAAAATGCGTCTTATGTTTAAATCTAGTTACTTCTAAAATTCTAGATCATTTGGTAAATTAATTAACGAGAAAAAAAATAAAACATAGAAAATTTTATGAAACAATTCAACCTCAAACTGCTTACCAATTTGAAACATAAAAGACATCAAAAAATATATGAAACTGTTTTAAATTGATTGTATTTTATTAAAAAAAATCACTATCTTGTCAGGTTTCTTTTACTTTTTAAAACAGCATCCACTCTTTGTGGCATACTATCTATTAATCTATTAATTCTTTCTTGAGATAGTGTTAAACCATTCCTCTTTTAATAAATTGAATAGTTCTGTCTTATTTTTTGGTTTTGGGTTTCTCATTCCAAGTCTTCTTTTTAAACCCTGCCATAAATTTTCGATAGGATTGAGATCTGGACTTTGAGCATGCCAAGGGAGAACCATAATATGATTTTCCTCTTTCTATTGATTTGCTATGACATGGTGCATTATCTTCTTGAAAAGTAAACACACAACTACAACCACGACCATCATCACCATCATCACCACCATCACCACCATGATTCTTCTCCTTAATTCATTAATATAAGATAGTAAATTTTCTGCAAGAAGTTTATTATAACCAATTGCATTTAATTTACCTTCAACTAATGCTAATGGACCCATTTTTTCTCTTGTAAAACATCACCAAACCATAATTCCATCAGATTTTTTTACTGTTGGACTTAATTTTTCTTTATTATATTTTCCCCCTGGCTTCCTCCAGACCCAATCATTTGAATCTTTTTGAAACAATTCAAATCACTAAATATTATTTTATCCCATTCATTACTACTCCAATTTTTTCTTGCATGACACCAGTATAACCTTTTTTTCCTATTTACATCAGAAACAAGAGGTCTTTTCTTCCATAAACATTTTTAGAATGTAATGTTTGTCTGATAGTCTTCTCACTTGCTATAATGTTTGACTCTTGACTAATTTAAAAGCATTTGTTTAGTATCCTTTTTTACTGCTTTCATAAGTTGTCTTTCATCATGCTCTGATAACTTTTTAGGTCTGCCAGGTCTAAGAGCTGCAGTTGTTTTATTTTTTGAAAAATAATCATTAGCAATCTTTTTGACTGCACTTTTGGATCTATTTAATATACAAGCTATTTCTCTATAAGAAAAATTGGCTTTTTTTAAGCCAATGATTTCTCCACATTTGAATTCAGATAATTGAGTAGCTTTGAGCATTTTAAGTTCTCTTTAAAAAAATAAAATGGTTAAAGTTTACTCTAAATGAATCATCTAATTTGGGATTTTTTTAAAAGATCTTCAAAATTAACTCATTTGAGAATTTTGTATGACATCTTGGCAATTAATTTACCAAATGATCGAGAATTTTGGATATAACTAGATTCAAACATAAGATGCATTTTTTACTTATACCACAAAGGTCGTTAGAACTTGACATTGTGGTCAATTTTCGAGTTAAAGACTTTTTTGAAAATTCCAAAAAATTCATTTTTATTTTTTAAGGTTTGTAAAACAACAATTTGTTGTTTATATGCGGCAAAACTTAAGTATGTTATAAACATAGCGGGCTTAAATATGATTGGTTGATTTTAGAAATTATAGTCACATATTATTTAATATAAAAATTTACCATCACCTGACTTTAAATGATAACGCAGCCTCACAAATAAGAACGCAGATAATAAAATTTATTGTATTCCAAAATACACACTTCAAATCATAAACTATTAAATAATTTGAATAAGGGTTAGGTAATTCAGAAGTTAGCTATAGAGAATTCTTTTTTTAAAAAACCGAAGGTAGAATTTCAATAACCAATTTAAAAATGAATGAGCAAAGTCAAAACAAATGTGGAAAAAAAGGTAAGAGGAAGGTAGAACACTGTGATTTAGAAGGTTATGATGAAGTTATATGTGATTATGAAAAGAATGGTGCTTCTATTATATCTGATAGAGTAACAATACCGGAAATTAATTGTCATTTAAATTTAGTAGGAAAAGCTCTATGTAGAAAGCATTACAATAAGTTAATTGTTAATGCAAAAAAAAAAAATTTACTAACATTTGTTCTCATCCTAAGCATCAAATATATTTACCTACAGCACAAAAAGAAACAACATCATTTAAAAAGGCACCTGAAAGACTAATTGAATATTTTAAATTATCTGAGACAGCTGTAATGTGTTATCATTGTTTATTGGAGACTGATCGTGATTCAGAACATTTAGGTTCTTCAAATTATTTATTACCAATTAAAAGAACTTTGAAAGAAAATATATGAAATTTCAAGATAGAGTTTATGTGTTACGCAATGATGTTATTTACTCAGAAAAAGAATTTCAAGAATTGGAGACTGCATATCATGAGGTGTGTGCAGAACTTGATGAAGTAAAATTAGGTAATTATTTTTTTTCTTTTTTTTTATTGTCAATTGTATTTGTTAACATGGTTATTTTTTTTATTTATTTTAGAAATGACTCCTCTTAGTAAAAAAATTAAACTAATGGCAGGTATACTGTATATAAGACAGAGAGTAAATAATGAAAAACCAATTTTGGAACCTGAAGCATTTAATAGGATGTTAGAAGAAACTGAACCAGAATTAAAAGGGTTTTTTGATCAACTATATAAAGGAACTAATCCAGGTTCTAAAAGCAATATGATTAATGAAAAAAATAAAAAAAGATTAGTTTTATTTTGTTATTTTTTGGCAGGTCTGAATAATAAATTTATTAGTGGAATTAAAGCAGAAATTGGCTATCTATTGGATGGTGCAGGTGCATCTACCTCAGCAATTGAGACATTTGGAGGAGCAGTTATGAGTATTAGACGTGAGACTGTAGCAAAAAATAAAAAAAAGGATGCATCAACTCACATTGAGACAGTTGGAATTTTTGTTGCAGAATTTGTAAGTACAGTATGTTTTAATATGCAAATTTTCATTTCTCTAACGTTTCTAAAAAAAATAATAAATAAAAAAATAAAACTTGGCCCGAATTTTTTTTCCCCAAATATTCCCACTTCAAAAAAAAAATGAATTGAATAAAAACGTGCATTATAACCTCATCTGAAATTTTAACATATGATAATACGCATCTTAAATAACCATCTGTGATGTTATGAATTTTTTTGTAAACAAGCTTGATTTTTAATAAATATTTTTGAAAATTTAAAAAAATTAATATTAAAAATGTTGGCTTTGACTGAAATTCAATGTAGCAAAACTATTTGTCTTTACAAAAATAATGAACCCATTTCCAAAATAGCCAAAATTCTTGATATTCATAGAACAACAATATCTCGTACTATTAAAAAACATATTGATGGTGAAGGTCTTGCTACAAAGCAGCGAAATGGTTGTCCAAAATTAATTAATCAACAATGAAAATCAAAAAACATTAAAAAAAATTTTAAAGCGAAATAATCGAAAGTCTGCTGAGCAAATAAAAAACAAATTTAATGAAAAAACAAATAGTGATGTTTCAACTAAGACTATTAAAAGAACATTACATGAATTAAATATTTTTCTCATGTTCCTGCAGCAAAGCCAATGTTAAATGACCAACAAAGAACTAATCAATTAAATTGGTGTCTTGAGAGAAGGAGTTGGACGGTTAGAAAATGGAAATCTATCATTTGGAGTGATGAAAGTAGATTTACAATCTATAAAAATGATGGACCAGGATATGTTTGGAGAACTCCTGGTACCAGGTTTAATATTGAAAACATGACTCCTACTGTGAAGTTTGGAGGTGGAGGCTTGATGATGTGGGGTTGTTTTTCAGGAAAACGTTTGGGCCCATTGATAGAAGTGGATGGTAAATTAAATAGCTTAGGATATATACGAATACTAGAAAACCATTTGTTACTTTAATTGAAAAAGACTTTAATAAGAGGGGTATTTGTATCAAGATGACAATGCCCGTCCATACTGCGAAAGTTGTAAAAAATTGGTTTTTAACAAATAAAATTAATGTTTTGTCTAATTGGCCAAGTCAGTCCCCTGACTTGAATCTAATTGAACATTTATGGTCAAAGTTGGAAAGAAGAATTAGAAGGCACCCAAAAAATATGAAAAATATTAATGAGTTGGAGTTCGCATTACAGGAAGAATGGAGTAAAATTCCAATGGATGTTCTATTCAGACTGATAGAAAGTATGCCAAGGAGAATAGAAGCTGTTATTAATAATAATGGGTGGCCAACCAAATATTGATTTTATTTAAAATTTTAGACATGATTATTATGCGAGTTCTTGAGCAATTTTTTTTTTGTTGATGTTTTTGATGATCATTTTCTTGGAAAAAAAAATTCGGACCAAGTTTTATTTTTTTATTTATTATTTTTCTTAGAAACGTTAGAGAAATGAAAATTTGCATATGGATTAACAAGGACCTAGGTTACAAAATGACATTATTTTTTTGTATATTAATATGTACGTTTTTGTGTAATTAGTTGTTTTAGGGTGTGCGTGACTTTTGTCCAGTTAGTGTATAAATAAGTCTTTGGATTATAAACACCCAGGTAATTAATCAAACTGCCCAAAATTATGTTGTGCATTTGCTGATAATTTAATAAATAGAGTTACTCTTTATTTATGTACTAAAGGGTAACTTTGACAAATCAGATTAATTATGAAAAATTACCGCAAAATTTCATCCAAATGCCAGTTTATGCAACCTATTAAGCTTTGAACCAATCCACCGACTCTATTAATTAATAATTTATTCTTAATTGCTTAAAACATATTTATTATTTAAAGGCTATGTGTGTTAAGGATTTGATATTTCACAAGTTAATGTTCTACCTACAATTACAAGGTACAATTAAAAGTGTGTTGATATTTTATAAAATCTAATTATATGAATTTTGAAATAAAATTCTCTTTTAATGGAAAGGTTTTTGAATATGGTATAAAGCAAGCAAGCTTAAATGTGAATATAATACTAATTGGGAATTGTGTAAATTATGCAACACATTGATTTAATGGTAATGAAAATATTGACAAGTTGATTAAATCATCCAGTTAAAGCAACGGGTTATGAAATTTTTCAATGGATTCCTTATTTAAAAGGTAAGCGAAGGTGAATTTGTGGAGCTACCTGAATAATTGTGGTGATAGTAGAGACATGACTGCAGCGTTAATAATTCTCAAAATATGCAAAAGATTAAGTCCCAAGTTTATATTGTATTGAAAAATATTTTATACTAAAATTTACAAATCAAATCAAGTTTAATACAATTCCTTTTGATCCTTCAAACATTACATCTTGATGCTGTTTATTAAATAAAATTTATAATAATTGTGTTATTAATGCATTGTCTAAACCTATTAATAATGTTATTAAACTACTGTATGCTTGAATATAAAAATACATCTGTTTCATAGTATATAATACTGACGTAGGGAAAGCGTTAAATATAAACCGTTTCTTTAAATTTTAAAGTTGTGCTCGCAACTCTAGTCACCTGTATGTGGCGCAACTTCGAATTACTAATATTAATACCTCCCTGTGGGCGTTAAAATTAACTGCAAGTTTCCCGAAATGTTACTACTATTATAATACATATATTTAGTAGCTTGCATTTCACTTTTACCAAATTAATTTTTTTCATTGAAAAGGTCATTTTTCATCATTATTATTTTCGATGAATCATAAAATAATCGACAATTTAGAATTTCCTTTTCTTCTTTCTTTTAGTGTAAATTACATTTAAAATGAGAATAACAATGAAGGAAAAAACAAAAAAATCATTTAAGGATTTTTTTAACATCAAAAAGATATTTTTTAAAAAAAAATTCATCGATAATAATGATATAACCGACATTAATAACCTTTATAATAATATTATTATTAAGGATAATAACAACAATAACAATAATTCAGCACCCCATACAACTACCAGTAATTTAACACCCAACAACAGCAACAGCAACAGGAACAGCAACAACAACAACGGCAACGACAATAACAATGATTCCGAAATAATTAAGGGAACTTTAAAAGATCCAAAGAAATGGTTGGACGACGCAGAAATAGTTAAATTTCCTTACAACATATTTTCTGGTATTACTTATATCAATAAAGGTGCTTCGGGACAAGTTTATAGAGCCAAATGGAAGAGTGATATGGATGTAGCATTGAAAGAAATTATGAAAAAGACGAAAAAAGATGACGGTGAAGTTATGAAACAATTTGTCCACGAGGTATAACATTATTTAGACCCGTGAGTATTTGTAATTAGTTATCTATCACTAAAGTAATATTACGTGACTATTTTTAGTTTAGATCACATAATCAAGTTGATGGCCATGAAAATATTTTGAATATTTATGGGATAACGCAAAGTAATATTTTTTTTACATTTAAAAACCAATAAATAAAAAATTAATTAGTAATACATTCTATTTTTTTATTATACGAAAATTATAAAAATAGATCCTAAATCGGGAAATTATTCATTGGTTTTACAATTCGCTAACCACGGGACGCTCCATGAATATTTGTCTGCAAATGTTGATAAATTGGACTGGACAAAAAAGTTAGGTTTGGCATATCAGCTTGCTAGTGGCATACAAGCATTGCATAGTAAAGGAATAATTCATCGAGACTTGGTACTTCTTTAATGATTTTTCTTTCTTTAATAGTATAGCATTAACACATTGTTAACATTAACATTAACCTTACTATCGCTATAAATATTTGTTGTAGCATGCGGGAAATGTTCTTATAGTCGATGATAATATTAAGATTTCGGATTTCGGATTGTCAAAATCTAGAGAAAAAGTTTATGGAAAAATTAGATATACAGATCCCAGATGTCTCGAACACCCTAAAAACGAGAAATCGGACATTTTTAGTTTAGGAATTTTGTTATGGCAAATCTCAAGTTGTAAACCACCATACGAATGGATTGAAAATGATCAGGATGTTTATTTATCTGGTGAAAGAGAAACTAAGGTTGATGGAACTCCTGAAGAGTACTTTGATTTATGCACTAGATGTTGGGACTCAGACCCAGATAATCGACCAGATATCAAATCTGTTGTTGAATATCTTGACAAACTAAGGGAACAACATTATACTGTACCAACTATTATACAAAAATCCACGAACGAACACTTACAAAATGCTTCGACAGATTGTAATCATAGCAGTGGAGCGTATCACGATTTTAAATTTAACGATCTTATGAATGAACAAGATCTGCTTATGAAACAAAATATGGGTAACACTAGTAATAGTGATCAATATATCAGTGATTCTAACACCAACAACAATAACAATAATGACGACATAATTAACATTTTTAACGTGAATAGTTTTGACAATTCTAGTAATGCCGATACTTATTATAATTCATCCTTACATTCCATTACAATGATCGACCCATCTCCTCCCAAAGATAATAATTGTTATTTTTTTCGGTTTCGGAAATAAAAATAACAACAACAATGATGATGCCGATAAAATAAATTATCAAACAAAAACCTCGAAGGAAATCTTGCATCTGCTGATGATGATAACAAAATAACAATGATAATAAAGATATCGACGACTATTGCCACTAATTCTATCGGGGACAGATTAATTCAATTAATTGCTTGAACGAAGAATCAAAAAATTCGGAAATGCCATCATTCATTTCTGACAATGACAGAGAAGATGACGAAACTTTTTATTTTCTTGGATAAAGGAATTTATACTATCGCAGATCACGAATCAATGATTCTATTTTATATTCTTCATGTTAATATTTATTTATTTTTATATGTGAATATTTTATAAATAGGCACACAGCCAATAATGTTCAAACTAAACTAAAATCACGACTATACCAATTGAGTAGGTTCTATTCGAATAAGGTTTATTCGAATTATTTGTTTTATTCGTTATGATTTTGAGTAATTGAAAGTTTATTTTGAGTGCTAGTAAACGAACAAAACGAATAATCCGAATTAAGATTGAGTACTACCAATAGAAACTCTAGTGTTAAGCTGGCCGGTATTATTATTATTATTATTATTATTATTATTATTATTATTATTATTATTATTACTATTGCTTTCTTTATTATTATTTATTATCTTTTATCTTGCTAAGAGCATTGTAAAATTCTTTTTTGGGCAACTGTACAGTTTTTTTTTAATCATTCTAATTAATCCATCACAACCAAGTGTCTATGCCACTGAATTCTGCACTAAAATCGCAGACGTAAAAATGAATGTTAAGAGAAAAATTTTTTATCATTTAATTGATTTAGCCGGCTAAGCCGTTTAAAAATTCTTTGTCACCAGAAATAATATTGCATCAAATTTATATGAAACGATAGAATAAGAAAAAAAGTCTTTATAACATAGAAAAAAAAGAAAGATATGTAGGTAGTCGCCATTCGAAGTTTTTTTTTTGATAAATTGCTTGTTTTCTATATACTCACTTTAGTTGGGCTGACAATGTTCTCTTGGTATTTTCATTTTTAAATACTGTAGTATAAGTGGTTATTCATCCACGGATAGTTTAGAGTTTTGGAACCTCATGTTTATCAACTTGATATTCTTCTTCCATAAGATTCAACTCTTCCGAGATAGCTTCAGCTCTATATTGTCTAGTTTGTTAGCTTCTCCAGCTAAAAAGAAGCATTGTAATAAAAGGCTAATATTTAATACCTTCAATTTTTATAAAAAATATACACATTTATATTTGCATTATGAATCAAGTGTTGACATATAACCTAATTACCCACAAAATATTATCAGTTTATCATTTGTGAACAAGGAATAATAAAAATGTTGATATTACAACAAAAGAAAAATCCACATCTCTCGATAATTCTCTAACAATATTAGGAGAATCAAAACCCAGTGCAATATTCCAGAATATTCTGTTCCTGTCTTATTAGTAATTTTTTTGTGCTGTTTTACAAGTTACGAATTCTCCACCTATCTCACAATAAAACAGGGGTTTGAAGCTGTTTGACAGCACGAACTGAAAAAACAACATTATTGAGTTATATTTCAACTTTTTTTTTTTTGTTGGTGTGGGCCACCAATTCGTAGCAAATTGATCATAATGAATCTGGTACAAAAATACCATGAAATTATAAATTATATGTATCTATTACTATATAAAAAAATCACTTGTTTGATAAAAAATTAATTGATATTTTACTACTTGTCAAGGCGAGAGTTTAAATGTCATTTGGTATATGAGATTAAATTATCATGTGACTTGGTCATTTCACAAGTAATTTGAGGTCATATGTCAACATTGTTCTATGATATTTTGAAATTGTAACTACTAATACTAATACTAATGAAGGAAACCCGGAATCCTAACCCAAAACTTTTCGAGAGCTTGGCAAAAATATGCTTGTAAAAATTCTAAGGAACTGTTCAATTAATAGGGAAATCACCAAACCATAATAATAATTAATTCAAAAAAATATACATATGCATCATCTAGAATTAGCGTTTGAAACTGTGACCAAGGGTTTCATAAAATTTTTTATAACGGTTACACGCCATATTCTGAGCAAACAATTACGATAGCCAATAACAACAACAACAATAATAATGTTTACGAGATTATTAAATTACGGAATTATAGATGATTGCCCTCTTAATGATCATTATCGAAACTTAAGTTTCATAGTTGTCGAAATTATATCCAAAATTTATTGACTCTTTAAGCTGAAGTAATAAGACAATATAAAATAAAATAAATAGAAAGGGTCTGATAATCTTACCGAATTAAGTAAAATCGACCAATAAGTTATGCTTAATTTGATAAGATCGCTACTATGATCAGCCTTTTCTCAAACGCCTCCTTATTTAATTATAGATTGCACAATACTAATACAAAGAAGTTAAATAAGAAACAAATTATCTTTTTTTCCATATTAGTAGTGTACATATATTATACTGAAAAATTTATATATAATGGATAATTATTGTAAAAAAATGATTTTTTACTCTTCTTAATAATAATAAACCAAGGGTGCCATAGTCGTTCGAATCTTAGTATTAGCTTTTGTTTTATACACTTTATACGTTTTCTTTTTTCTTTCATTAAATAACAAGAGAGCTGGCATCTCTTCGTTCTCTTTGTTATATAAATAGATTTTTATTTAAATAGATTATTAGTTGTATATAACCACTAATTTCAATTAATATATATCTTAACTTGACATAATAATAAAGAATGAAAGGACAAAGCAGGAATTTTTATATTATTATAATAGTTTTCGCTCTTTTGCTACTTTTCACAAATTTGAATACTAATGTACAAGCAGGTAGATCTCACAACTATATATTTTTCAAACTTTTTTACATCAAAAAAATAATTTTTGATTAACCGTTTTGACATTTTAGCTAAATTCATTCGCAATGAACAATCAAAAACTTGTTTACAATATGCAAGCAATTCAACCCAAAGTTGCACATCTATAATTCTTACAAGTTGTCCTGTTGATCGATTTGGTGAAATTTCTGATTTAACAAAATGGAATCTTATTTCAACAAATCCATCTCAGCCATTATCAAATTCGACTGAAATTTTCATTGAATCCTTAGATAACAAATTATGCCTTACCACCAAATCCAATTCTGCTGTGCAAGCTTGTCCTTGTGATAATGGGGTCACTCAAAAATGGAAACTGAATAGTGATGATACTTTCACGAGCAGCTCAAATAATGGAAAATGTTTAACAATGTTAGCTGATAATTTAGGCTTGGATACTTGTCAAAATAATTCTACACCTATGTCATGGAAAACTTATAATGTTGCTCCTAGTAAGTTTTTATATGTATATATATTGGTATTTTTTATTTGTAAATTTATTTTTGACTCTAACAAATATATTTTATCAACTATTAGATGCTGTTAACATTTATATTAATCCATTATTTAGTGGAAATACTACCCAATTAGTTGTAGATCAATATACATCGAAAACTCTCCCAACAAGCATTTTCAAATCACCATTTTCACTTGAGATTCCACCCGGTTTTCTATTTGAGATTGATTCGGGAAAAAGCGATCCCATAATTTATGATTCTGATATTGCTCAAGCTGATCCTATAAAATCATTAACTTCCACAATAATTGTCAAGTTAAAGTCTGGAGTGGTTATTTATGAACAACCTGCATATTTTGGTAACAGTGAGTTTTTTGAAGTTGGTGCTTCAGAAACAACTACTCAAACAAAAGCTATCATGATTGGTTCGGTTATGGTACCTGATGGTTTTCGTGGTGTTGTGTGGCAATCCTCTAATTTCTCTGGTACAAATCTTGGTTTATTTGAACCTGTTGCCAATTTTACTGGTGTGTCCGTTGCTACTAATCAAGCACCAGCTGGCAGTTTCGATATATCTTCAGGTATTTTTTGTTTGATAAAAGTTGATTTGGTTTTTTTATTTAAAAAAAAAAAGAAGCTAATTCATTGTTTCCATTATTGTTATAGCATCATGTACAAATGAATGTGGTTCAGGTGGTTTTTGTAATGAGAAAAAAACATGTGTTTGTAAGAATGGTTTCACTGGTGAAAAATGCGATCAATGTTTACCTGGTTTTTTTGGACCAAATTGTCAAGGTACTAACTATTATTATTACTATTATCAAAAATTATCAAAGAAAATATATTTTTATTAATATATATATATATATATATATATATATATATTATCTATGAAATAAATAGCATGTCAAACCTCATGTGGTGACCCAACAAAATTTACTTGTGAAGATGGTTTATCTGGTTCAGGAGCTTGCAAATGTAAGGATGGATTCACTGGTGAAAAATGCGATCAATGTTTGCCTGGATTTTTCGGCACAAATTGTCAAGGTATTAATTATTTATTTATCTCATATATAAAAATTTTTATGATGAAAATAAAGGTAATAATCTTTTTTCAATAATAATCATGATTGATAATAATAGCATGTAATTGTGGAAACGGTACTTGTGATGATAAAGGAGCTTGTTCATGTAATGCTGGATGGGCCAATGATCCAAATGATCCCAAGAAACTATGTTCAACTTGTGATATTGGTTTTTTTGCTTCAGGAGAAGATTGCAAAGTTTGTTCATCGGGTTGTAATTCATGTGAAGCACAAACTGGTAAATGTACAGTATGTAAACCATCACTTGCTTTAAGTACTGATGATGCAACAAAATGCGTTCCTGCAGCAAATAGTTGCACAGCTGGTCAATATTTCGACTCAGCATCACAACTATGTCAACCATGTAACACCCAATGCCAAACTTGTTATGGTCCCGGTCCTGGAGACTGTTTAAAATGTCTACCACCTTTAAGTTATTTTAATGGTGGATGCCTTCCACAAAAACCTACTAATGATGGTAAATGTCAACTAAACGTTGCTACGCAGCAAGCATTTTTCATTGATAATTCGCAAGGTGCATGTGAAGGTAAATACAATTAATCAACATGTGTATTCCTATTTACTTATTATTTTATTTACATATAATTAATGTTTGGCATTTATGATTTTTTAATATAGCTTGTCCAAGTTCTTGCACTGATTGTTCTATACAAGGCTATACTCCACAAAGTCCAAAGGAGAGCATGACTTGTTCCAAATGCATGCCAGGCTTCGTTTTAGACAATGGTAAATGTGTTAAAACTTGTTCATCCAACAAATTTGCTGACAAAGATATGACGTGTAAAGGTAACTTATTAATTTATTTACTTATTTGAAGCGATAATTTTATTATATTTAAATATTTAAATATATATACTATTATATCTCGCCTAGATTGTAATTCCGCATGCAAGTCATGTAGTGGGCCTCTTGAAAATCAATGTTTATCATGTTCAAATTCCGCTAATTTTGCTATTAATGGAGTATGTTCACCAACGCCGTGTCCATCATCCTATGTGTCTTTAAATACAACATGTACAAAATGTCATCCAGATTGTGCAGAATGTTCAGGACCTGGTATCAATCAGTGTACAAAATGTCCATCAAACAGACCAGTGCTAACCAAAGATGGCCAATGTATAGAAGTTTGTCCAATGGGAACATATCTTGATAGTACTGGCAAATGTCAACAATGTAATAAAAAATGTTCATCATGTGTTGGTCCAGATGCTGATCAGTGCCTTGGTTGTTCAAATCAGTCAAATGTATTGATTGATGGTTCTTGTAATAGTTCATGCCCCCCGGGTACTAAATTAATAAAAAGTGAAAGACTATGCCAGAACGAAGAAAATAATCAATTGGTGCCACCTCAGCCAGCTGCTAATAGTGGTAATGATACAGCGCAAGAAAAAAAGGGACTAGAATGGTGGCACATTCTAATAATAATTCTTTCAATAATCATATTCCTGGTTGGTATGGTGTTGTTGATCAGATATTTGGCCGTTAAGAGAAGGAAGAAACAAACGGATGAGTTCAAGGAAGCGTTGGATGAGAATCATGTGAAAAAACAAGTGAGAAATTTGTATGAGATTGCACCCAGGTTGTTAAAGAAGAAAAAAAACAAGAGTCATAGAAACTCCCAATTGGCTGAACTTGAACCAGCATATTCGACAAACCCAAAAGAATTTAAACAAATTGACATTGATGTTGATGGAAGTATAGGAAATTATAACGCAACGACTTCTCAAATTTTTAACACTCCACCACCATATGATTCAAAAGCTGGTGAAATGTATTGGAAAAATAATGAATATGTTTTAAAACGAGCACCACCAACAACTGGCCAAACTGTTGCAAATGATGTTTATTATAATGGTGGTAGCAGTGGTACTAATGAAAGTAATAGTGAAAATTGGAATGGTAAAATTGATAGAAAAAGTTCAAATTGGGGAGATAATTGGATATAATGATAATATACCAATTTAAAATTTTTAATATATAAGAATAACATCAACCAATAATACCACACATATTCATATTCCTTAATTCTAATTTGTAATTTAAAAAAATTTATTTTTATTAATAAATAATTAATGTTTACCTTTCATTATAAATTATTTTCCGTTTACTAATTTATAAATTTCATAAAATCTATAAAATTTACACCATCTCTAGTATTATCAATAATTTGACTATTATGATTTATTGCACATTCAGGATATTTGACTTTACTTAATATTGAATTATTTAAACAATCTTAAAAGTAAAGCCTCGTCTGTTTCAATATAGTAATATTCTTCATCTAAAGACTTTGCTTTTAAATTCTAACAAACTGGATTATACCTCAACTTATTCCCATGTTTCTTTTGATTTGAATTAAAACTGTTGTTTGTTTGATATTGTAACATCTCTCTTCAAAAACTGGCCTTGAAAATCTATCCCAAGATCTACCAAGAAATTTTTACGGCAAGTAGTTTACATTATTTCCCATTCTTTGGACTTCTTTATGGTAATAGCTTTGGTTGCCATCCAACATTAAAGATGATATTGAAGCATTTCTTCATACACACACATCTTTAAAATAAGTGCTTGTATCAATTTGACTGTACCTTACTAATTGAATAATATCTTCTAAATGTTTCCAATTTGTTGAAATCATTTTTATCCCAAGGTACTTGAGTGAGTGAGCTTTTAAAGGTTTTAATATTCCAACTCTAATCGCCTCATCATAAAAGTTAGTTTATCCAACAATTTCAATGAGTAATGGTACGTTTTTAATGGCAATGCTATTACATATGTATACATTTCGTTTTCTCACATAGTGAGTGAGCAAAAGTTTCATTTTTTAAAAATACTAGTATTTAGGAAATACAAAGAATAAAATATACGTGATTTAATTAGCAACGATAACAACAATCAATCAATTATAATAATAATAATAAATAGAATATAATGAATGTGACATATGAAAACGCCTGGAATTGTAAATTTTTTTGTGTGTATGCAAATAGAAAAAGCTCAAAGATTATATATACTTTCTTCGATTGTATTGATAATTTTTTTTTTGGTTTGGGGTATAAAAATTAGTATTTCTGTAGCAAGTTCTCTGATTCATGAACAGATCGTTAATAAAATGAATTCATAATCATCGTGGGTGGGAGAGGAAAAGAAATCGTTAAATAATAGATTTGAAGGATGATAAAAAATTTTTTTTTAATAGTTCAATCCATACAAATTAATGTTGGTTTCCAAAACTAGAGAGTTTCGAAAGTCAAAAGGTTTCGCCACAAGTCGAAACTAGTTTTGACCTTTGACTTTTGAATTTTGATTTAGCTTTGACATATAAATTTTAATTTTAGTTTTGACTTTCGCTTCTTCAAAATAGTTTCGGCAACCAACATTAATACAAATACTGATTCACTATAAAAAGAAAATGCCAAATTAAATAAAAATTTTCAATTACAAAAATTTTCAAAAAAGCAATATGTGCAAATTTCAATGTGAGTAATTTCTAGCGAAATTATAAACGCAAGGTCAAGTAGGATGAAAGAGGAAAACGCTTAGTCAATGGAGAGAAAGGAACATGCCAAAAAAAAGAGAGATATACTTTTTCATAATTCTCGTAGCAAACGTCAGTATAACTTTTAAAATTAAAGTCCTTTATTTACAATACAAAAATTAAATAATATGTTCATCTTTCATTCCATACTTTTCTTATTCTTATAAAAAAAGCACTTTCTGACGATTTCAATAATTCTCTTTCTCAAAAGTTAGTAATAAAGAGTACTTTAAGTATATTATGAATACTAAATAGCCTTACTAGTAGTTTTCAGCTCTTGCTTAGCATTACTTGAAATCGACTTAATTGAAGACTTATAACTTAAAATTATTTGCTATTTACATAAAAATGTGGTTTAAATGATATTTTATAAATGTTTGTCTATTATATGAAGTCACCGGTAATTATGTTTTTATTGCCCATTCATAGAACGAATGCAGCAACCAAAAATAAACCACAAAGGAAATTTAATCTAGTAATGATGATGGTTGTGGGAGAATTACTGTTATTATTACAATTAACATTTCCCGTGCCAATAACAGTTACATTATTGCAGTTATTTTTTGTAGGAGAGTTGTATTGGGTGGGAGAATCGCCGGGTGGTTTCGTCTTACTAGGAGACTTGGAGGAGGAGGGAATAGGATCTTTTGTAGTTGAGTCAACAGTAGCTGACGATGGAATTTTAAGGAAGCCTGGACAATTCGGTTTGGAAGGAACAGTCAATTCGTTGTAATTCAATTTGACGCATTTATCTACATAAGCTATTAATATTTTGAAAGCAATATATTAGTAAGTCTGAATAATTTAATATATTAAAGACTGCAATTCAGTATATATTTTATTTTTCATAGGGCCAATGCCTACATTGAGGCTTATAAGCAGTATAAGGAGGAGTAGCGTAAAGCATGCAGAGGTAATAGCTAAATAGACAACAATAAAGACAGGAAAATCAATAAATTATGAATGGAATTTGAAGACATCAATTTTATTTACCAAGTATAAGCTTCAATGTAATCTTGCGAACACGAACACGTTGGAGTATTCAAAGCATCAGGATGAAGTGTATCACAAGCACTCGCATCTCTTTTGCGGTTATCCCAATATGTACTACAAACTAGTCTTCCAACTGCTGTAACAACTTCAACAGATAGGAGCAAGAATAAAATCACTGGAAGGAATAACTTTTGAAATTGCATATTAAATTCACGGAAAGAAGTTTTATTATTACCAATTTAAGTACGATTGAAGGTAGCCAGCCATATAAAAAAACTTTGAATGTGTAACAAATAGTTTTATTTTTTTAAATAATACTTTTTGGAAAATTTCTGCGATGATCAATGTTAATTATTGTAGTTGTTGGGTTTCTTGCATAAGGGATTGTTTATACTTTGAATTACCGGTTTAAATCCAGCTATTACTATTATGACTAATAATAAATCGTGAAAAGCCGGATTTTAATTACCGTTATATATATATTTCCTTACTTGTAACAATTTATTAACAAACAATTCTATTATAAATTAGGTTCTGTTTTAAGAATCCTCTTTAAATGGTAAATTTGAAAAAAGTATTTGCAATTTAATCAATCAGAATCTAATTATATTTGGAAACATGTCTCGATATTCTTGTTTTAATTTTAGTTATTATTTTGTAAATCATCCATTCATCTTTGCATTCATTTTTTTTATCAATGGATCAAAAAATTTATCATTCGTTTCTTTTCTTTTTCCAAAATGTTTTAAAAATGCTCGACTCTTTTATTTCATAACTTAAAATATTATCATTTGTAAAATTCCATTCTTTTGGAATTAAGTATTTTAAATGAATAATCTATTAATTCAACATTTAAAATGTGTTTTTGATTTCTTTCGCAACGGATGGTGAGATGATGAATAATTACAAATTCAATATTTAAAAACCCGGATTTGCGTATATAGATCCGGTTTAAAATTGTTGGAGAGGAATAAGAACTCTGATTGAAAATTCTAAAATCAGGTTTCTTTCCGGAACAAATTTCAAGCCCTAATAAGGACAAGGATAAAGGTAATAATATAATTTTTTGAGAACAAATTTTTTACTTTCGTTGGATGTACAGTCTCCGGCGAAAGTAATGGCGGTGATAATTTTTTTAAAAACTAAAAATTTTTAACAAGCAACTATCAATAAAATTTTATTTTTAAAACGCCTCTAAGTAAAACATCATGCTTTTAAAAGCTTATAGTATAAAACGTTTTTCTCCTCTCTCAATCCCGGTCTGAATCTAATTTGTGCATTAAAAAAAAATCGGAACTTTGGCTTTTTTAAAAAAATTTTAAATTTCATTTTTCTATTAAGCTTTTTTTTTATTAAGTAAATGAATCTTTATACATTAAATAAAATTATTCGAAATGAAAAATTCCACGTATCCTAAAAATTTTATGAAGTTTGGATAAAAAAATTTAATATGTTTTTATATTTTACGCTTTTACGAAATAGAAAAATCAAATTTTTTTACACAAATGTAAAGTGCAAGAACACATCAAAAAATTTTCTCTAAACTTCATAAAAATTTTAGGATATGTAGAATTTTTCATTGTGAACAACTTTATTTAATATAAAAAGATCGATTTACTTAATAAAAACTTAGCAAAAATAATATTCATTGTACCACCATTACTTTCGCCTGGGACTGTATATATATATATATATTATATGAAATATTATACCTTACCTTCTCCAATAATTCCCAATCTTTCGATGTATTGAATAGGATAATTGATAAATTCTCTCCAGTATGTGGTCCTTCTAAAGGAAAAAATTCTAGTATAGTATGTTTTAAGGTCCAACACTTGGTAATCCAATCAGTGTTGGTTGTCAAAACTATTTTGAAGAGGCGAAAGTCAAAATTAAAATTAAAAGTTATACATCAAAACTAAATCAAAAGTCCATAGTCAAAAATCAAAACTAGTTTCAACTTATGGCGAAACCTTTTGACTTTCACACAGTTGCAAAACTCTCTAATTTTGGAAACCAACACTAAATCCAATGTGCAGTAATTCCTAGAAAGGAATCTGATTTTTTGATGTCTAAGCATCTAGTGTAAAAGATATTCAACCTGGAGAAGCTTTCAATTCCTCTTTTAGTTATTGTTTTTGATTATCAAATGATTTAGTAAGGATATTACAGACAGTATCACCAGAAGGAACCAACGCCTCAGGATTCAATCTTTGTACCATTTTTTTAAAAGCTTTATTTTCAACAACTGAAAAAGGCTGGTCATTGACAATTATCCATTTAATTAAATCTTGCAAGATTCTTCTTTGTAAAATTTATTTATTTATTTATTTATTTATTATTCATAATTTATGATAATAAAAATAATAAAACCATTCAAAAAAGCCTAAACTTACAAATAAATCACCTTTTTAACATAATTATCCATAGGACCACTCACAGGATTAAAAAGTGTTTATGGGATTTTTTCAGATGATTTAACATAGTTAATGTTGACCCACATACTGATACCTTATAAGAATTCCTAAAAAAAAAGCATTAATAATATCAATAAATTAATGTTATTTTCTTTTAATCTGTTTGACATACATACTTGCAGTGTTTACATTTATACTTATTGATTCTTTCATCCAATATGCAATTAGAGTGCACAGTTGACCTATTTTTTTTTATTTTGAAATGTATCATGTTGATTTGAATTTAAATTATCACCAATGATAATTTTTGATGAATTCTCTTCAACTTCTTCACTATTATAAATAGGAGAACTATTATCAAGAGAATTATGTAATTCATTCATGAAGAAATCAATGACTAATGGTAAAATTGAAGGAGAGGAATTAATTATTAATTATTTTTTTATTTTTTGATTAATTATTATTATACTGTATATTAACATATATTATATTTATTATCGGAAAAAAAAATTATCAAAAAAAAAAATTTTTTTTATAATTTAAAACCAAAACCGAATCATTTGGAGCTTTACTTATAAATGCCCCCACTTCATTTCTAAAAATTAAATATAATATACTAGATCCAATATTATGTTCTATTAGTATTGAATCTAATAAATACACTTTTCAATATAATGCCATTGACTCAGTATACTAATACCATAGATGTTATGGATCCTAAATTCTAACACTAGTATGAAAAATGTAATAATGCTTTATAAGCCTTTTATCACCATTGATGAGTTATAATTATTGCCAGAATTAAGGAGGATGTTCACAATAGAAATTGTGGCCACGAAGTGCTTCCAGTCTCTTATTTCTCATATTCACCACAGGCCCTGATCCACATCAGCTAGCTTTTCAGTTGGTGTAGAGAAGGACTTCACAACAGATCGTCCACCATACATTAGGGCTGGTTACCTAATTGCCAAATTTCACAAGTTGTGGCCACAAAGTACTTCCAGTTCTCTTTTACCAAATCCTAGTGGCAGATAAACAGCAATTCAATAATTCGGTGTAAGAAAAAAAACCATCATCTTTCAAGACGATTTATGTTGATTATTTTCCTTTAATAATTGTTTTGTTTAAAATAAATATAAGAATGAATTTATTATTATGCATTTTTTTATATTAATATTTAAAAAAATAACAAACATATATAACTTACTATTAATATTATATTATAATTATTGAAATTACCACCACTGTCTATTATTGTTATTATTATGGTTATTAAAATAGTAGTGGTGAATTTATTTAGATTAGAAAATAATCACATCCACTAGATTGGGAGTGGGAATGAGGGTGGGAGCTGCAGTTGACAGTTGAAGTAGAAGCGGCAGTTGAGCGGCTGAAGTTGGACTGGCAATGGAGTGAGAGAAAGAGTGCTGGTAATGTATGGGTGTCCGTTTAACTATATAGTTGTTTTCTTCTGTTTCGTGTTTCGTGGTTGTTTTGTTGTGTAATAAAAATTTGTACAACACAAATTGATATCATAAATTTGATTGGTCGATTGACAAGTTATAGATAAAAGATAAATCGAAATTCATTCATTATTGATCCCTTTCCTGGACCATCAAAATTTATTTCTGGCTTATAAAGCACATATTAATAGAAGCCTAAGTTAACAACAAAGTAATTTGAAAAATAACAAGATAATTCGGAAGTTAGATGAGAGATGTTTCCAATATTCCGCATCCAAGAAAATAATTTTATTAAACTTGTTGTAACAACTCAACCATAAAAAAATCAACAGCAACATATTGGAGGTATGAATATTATTATGCCAATTATAATAATGTGTTGATAGTGTGTTTAATGAACAATTATCTTATTAAAGAAGAAACAACATTGACGTTTCAACATTCATAAATATTGTATTTAACAGCAAAGAGTGCGAGTACGCTTTTTATTTTACATATTTCTTGGTGTATTTTTAACCTCTAGTCCACAAGGTTTTAGCCAGCCAGAACACGGATTTGATACCGTTTTTTTATATGTCTTTACTTAATATACAGGAACTTGCTCTAGAGTAGGTGCTTTTTTCTAAATTTAATTTCCCTTAGAAGCTTAAGAATAATAATTTATTTTCTTGCTTAAGCAGAATGGTTAAATTCTTAAGAGATATAATAATAATTTGCCCCCTAGTTTGAGCATGCCTCTTAAATCATAATGTGTTTACTTGCTTAGCTAGAATCTTTGAAATCTCATGAATTCTGATTATATATATTTCTTGGAGAATTGATGTTCAGATTGTATCCTGAAATCTAGTGATCTATGATGCGTAATATCAAAATGCTTCCGTCTTGCATAGAATTGTGCAAGGTAATAATCACTAGCATCCGTTTTACACATCAGAGGTGCAGAAGAATTAGGCTTACCATAAATTTTGCAAGGGACATGTATTTTAGACCTCAAATGTTCATGACATCCTTTTAGGCCATCAACATTCACATCCACAAAATTCACCAGGGTTATGTAAATAAATGCAAGTAAATTCTTTCAACATTGAAATGTATAAATTTTATTAAACACAAGATCTGGAGGAGTAATATATAATAAAAAATGTATATTCGAAATGGTAGACTACGAAGACATCAAATTGGCGTTAATTAAGGCAATCAATGTGGCATACTGTCAAGGTAAAAAAAGATATGACAAACTTGGTACAACATATGGAGGATATCTGAAAACATTACAATGAAAATGAGATCCAGAGGATCATGTTAGACGTGTAGCAAAACAACTTGTTCAAGATGAAGCAACCTACATGGAATAATTAGCAGATTTACAAGAATGGTATATTGAAGAAGTATATTACTAGTATGGAAAAATTATATTTTAGATTGGCTACCCAAGGGTAATACAGAAAACATGTAATGTATGAACCTCTATGTATGTAACATATGAATTTATTTCCATACATGTATGAAAAATGCAGATCATACATACATACATTTTTATTAAATTAACTAGCAAACATCACCCAATTATTATTATATATATACCATATTAATGTTAAGTGCTAAATAAATATATTAAAAAATTTATTTTACATTTATTCCTATATATACATATGTAAATGATGATTAGAACAATAAACAACAACAATAATGATTATAG